TTATATGTACTATATTCAAAATATTGTCCATACATTCAATACAATTATTTACATACCTAATTAATTAAATGATATATATTCAAATGTTATTTGAATTATAGCATTATATGCTTTAACAATAGCATCTTTTTCAACTTGTTTATAATATTCATGAAATATACAAGTATTCCATCTTGTCTTAATCACTATATTATTTTTCTGAATATCTGATTGCCAACTTACTGGCATTGTAATACATATTTTCAAAGTTTATATATTATTATTTTAATAATAAAGATATTTAAATTTTTCATGTATTTCAATTATGATTATGTATATTATAATTATAATATATAATTATATATTCGTTCATCTGATTTAAGTTTTTTTTTATTATTTAATTAAAAATATTGTCTAGTATTTCTATATTCACAGATACATGAGGTTAGGATATTCAAAAGAGAATAATTCATTTACTTTAATTTATATAGATATATATTAATTTTATATATATTATATATCAAAATATATGTTAAATTTCTTATAAATAATTTTATATTTAATAATTTTACTTAACTATATTAAAGTGAAATCTTTAATTATATATTATTTTTGTTTAAATTATTTTTATTTTGAATTATCCCGCCATTTACTAAATGATATACGTCATACTAACACGCCTTTCATCGTACTTGATGTCTTGTCGATAGTAATAGACAGTAGAGTCATGTTATGATGAGAATCACGATTTAAAAGTGGCCGTTTGTTCTTCTAATTTTATCTTGCAAAAAATCGCAATACGTCGTAAAAGAGAACGCGGTAAGAGCGCGAAATTCCGCGCTAAAATGAGTCTTAATATATCAAAGTTATTTTCAAGAAAGAAAACCGGCACAATTGATACAGTCGCTGAGATTGGTCGTCCTACCAATGTTTCTCATAAATTTCATGTGAGTAAAAATGCCGAAACAGGACAATTGGAAGGTCTTCCTGAATCTTGGATTCGTTTGCTTAATACACAAATATCAAAATCAGAGCAAGATGAACATCCTGCTGCAGCTTTACAAGCAATCAAATTTTATAATTACTCGATAAAACGGAAACCAGAAGAAAAAGTATTCAAACCTTTCGTTACAGAAGATTTGATTGAAGAAGAATCTCAGGAAATTGATAAAATTTTATCAAAAAAATGTCAATCTGAAGATTCAGATGAATCGAGTACTGCAAGTTCAACAGATAGTCAAGTGCAGGAGTTACCAGAACTTCCACCAAAAGTTAACAAAATTCCAAAACCTACACCACGAATGTGCCCTGAAAGAGTTGAAAAAACTATTATTGAAATTCTTGAAGATTTAAGTACATATCAAATTGAAGATGATCATCCACTTGAAATTGAAAATGAACAAAATAAAACAGAAGAGAGCCCTATTTTACGAAAGAAAATAGAATCTTCTACAATAAAACTTAATGATGAAGAAATTTTTGAAGAACTTCGAGCTATTTGTCATAATGAAGATCCAAATCTTCGTTTTGAAAAAACTAAAGAAGTTGGGGCTGGTGCTTCAGGTACTGTATTTATAGCTACTGATATACAAACTAATCAAAAAGTTGCTATAAAAGACATAGATTTATCAAAACAGCCAAAGAAAGAATTAATATTGACTGAAATCAAAGTTCTTAAGGAATTTCAACATCCAAATTTGGTGAATTTTTTGGATGCATATCTTTTAAATGAGCATCTCTGGGTTGTTATGGAATTATTAGAAGGAGGACCACTTACAGATGTTGTTACTGAAACTGTAATGAAAGAAGTACAAATTGCAGCAGTTTGTAGAGAAGTTTTAAAAGCAATTAGTTTTTTACATACAAGAGGAATTATTCATAGAGATATCAAATCAGATAATGTACTTCTTGGAATGAATGGTGCTGTGAAAGTTACAGACTTTGGTTTTTGTGCTAATATTGATGGTGATGAAAAACGTCAAACTATGGTTGGTACTCCATATTGGATGGCACCAGAAGTAGTGACGAGAAAACAATATGGTAAAAAAGTAGATATATGGTCTTTAGGTATTATGGCCATTGAAATGATAGAAGGTGAACCACCTTATATGAAAGAAACACCTTTAAGAGCTTTATATTTAATTGCTGCTATTGGTAAGCCTTCTATACCTAGATGGGACACATTAAGTCCAACATTTCAAAATTTCTTAGAAAAATGTTTGGCAGTTGAAGTTGATGACAGAGCAACTGCAGATGAGTTATTATCTCATCCATTTTTAGAAAATTGTGCAGAATTAACAAGTCTGATACCATTAATAAGAACTGCACAAAGAATTCTTCATAAAGTGTTCCATTAGATAATTTTTTTAAATAGAATTCAAAACCTATTTTTATATGAATATAATATTGCATTGATTACTTACACAATGCAATAAGTATTCTATATATTGCACATAATTTAAATATATACAATATAGCAATTAATCTATTTTATATGTGACTATCTATTATATTTATAACAATATTATTAAATTTTTAATAGAAATCATGATGTAGTAATAAAGAAATTACTATAAGATAATTTTTTAAAAATTATTCATTTATATAATAATTTCATAATACAATATAAACAATAGATTAATTTCTATTACTTTGAATTATTGGAAAAATTAATATCATTAATAATGTGCATTATTCATTTTTTATGTGCAATATTCATTTTTTTTTATATGTTTATTTCTATAAAAAAAATATAAGATTCTATCAATTTTTAGAATAAAATAAATGCAGAGAAAATACAGTTAGAATCATTATATTAAAAATATATTTAGTATTTTTAGTTATATAAATTACGACTTTACTTTAAAATTATTTGCATTTACTATATAATAAGGTATAATTTGTTCATTTATTTTAAAGTTCATTTTTACCAAAATAATGTACTTAGTTTGTTTAAGAACTGAAAGTGCTATAAATATGCTGTAAAGTATGTGCACATAATATCTATCAGGGGTATAACTGCAATTTATTGTCAAAACACTTTTTAAAGTAATGATTCCAATTTAGTCATAGTACAAATTAAATTTATAATTTTTATTTAACAATTTTGCTAATTGATGTTGTAAATATACATCACATTTTATTATATTTTTTGAATTCCATATTTTCTTCTATTCAAAATTATAATTTAAAAAAATAAGTTATGCCATACATTTTTAAATCAAATAATTTATATTTAAATTAAGTATTGTAATTAAAGTATTTAATATCTGTTCAATCATAATCTAATTGCATAAGAAAGACCACTTTTTTATAAAAAATTCTATATTTTTTGTTTTGGAAGAATATTTTGTTATTAGTAGTGAGAAGTTGTACCTTATGATTCAATGTTATAAGCACATGTATTAATAACTAAGTATTATAAGTAATGTGATATATCACACATTATAAAATGCATTTTTTAAAAGCATTACCAATCTCTAGTTAGTGTTATAAGACTTTACCAAATTTTATAATATGCAATTTTTTAAGAAATTTTTTGTATTTTAAAATCTAATGCTATTCATATGCCAAATTTTAATAAATATTATTCTTTTAAATAAATACTATAAATTATGTATATAATATTGTATTTATATCTTTTATAAAAAATATTTGAATTTGTATTACAATTAAATATTGTCCATAATTAATTTAAAATCTGAGCAATCACGATCACATAATATCACAACTGTGATAATAAAAACTGAATCCTGTTTTATTGTATTTCTACATTAAATATCATCGTATCATTTTTATTTTTGTTTAACTAAATTACTTATACAATTTGTATGAATAATATTAAATTTAATTTCAAGTTAAAATAATTAATATTTACATAAAATTATAACATAATTCAATGTATAAAATTGATAATTCAGTTATTTAATCATTTAATAATAAAATGTAAAATATATTTGATTTTGACTATTACATATGTATCTATATATTAGGAACAATTTGTTAAAAAATTCTGCAGCTGTAACATTTGTGCCTTATCAAATCAATACATATGGTTCTCTACCAATTGCCTTACAAATACATTTATCAATGATAATAGAATAAAATATAAAAAAAAGTTAAATGTAATAATAATCTATTGATAAGAACAGTTGCACAAAAAATGCTAAATTTTGTATATTAAATATGTGTGTATTATTTTCAAATGTATATGAAAAAACACATGTGGTTTTAACAATAAATACTTTATTTACAAGATATAGCAATGACTTTGTACATTTTACTAAAATCCCCAAAATTCTTAAATCACACTGAAGTTTTCAATCATACAACTTTCTAATATTTGAATATTATCTTATCTAATTTATGAATATTTATTTATATTTATTTACATTTTATACAAAATTTTATAATATATATAAAATAATATAGTTTTTATTATCTATTGTTACATGAAAGAAGTTATATCAGTGTGATTATTTTATTAAATTATGTATATAAATAGTAAATCAGATATAAATTATCCATTTACATATAAGTAAATAAATTATATATATGAGATATTATATTTATAATTGAAATAAATTCATATAAATTTATATTATTTATTAATTTTGATATAGAAAGATCAATTTATATCTTATTAAAAAATATAATTTTTTATCACTTTATATATATATTAATTTATTATTTTTGTATATTTTATAGATATGCTGTTCAAAAGTTTTTAGTGTGTATATATATATATATATATAAATATATATATATATAAAAATTTTTATCAAATAAAAAATTTGATGGAAGCATAAATACATTAAGTAAAAAAAAAGAAATTTATATAAATATTTATATTTGGTGTGTGTAATTGTTTGTAAAAATGATTTTATTAATAATATAATAAAATTGATAAAATTAATTTATTACTTTAATCTTAATATTTTTCACATTTCCACTAAAATATTTTTAATTATTAATCTAAAACTTGGCAGTATCTAGGCAGATAAATAAAATTTTTTTTTTGATTACGATTTTAAACTTTAAAATAAAATATTTAAAATTATTTTTTAAATAATTTCATACATCAAATTTTATATGTATAACTTTTAAAGCATAATAAAAGCTATGAATTTATAAATGGTTTAAAATTTAATCTTATTACTTATAATTTATTTTCAAATGAAATTATGAATTCTTCAGATCTATTTTTAGAAAATTAATATAACAAAGAAAACTATAATTTAAATTGAAATCTAAATTATGTCAGTAAGTTTCTCAGAATTAATGTTTAATTAAAGATCAGTCCTGTGCGTACCTTAGTGCTCGTAATCTTCCTGCAATAAGAAAAGATGGGTCTTCCAACATAGCTTTTAAAACAGCCAAAAAGTCGGCTGCTTGATCTTCATCAATTGCTCGTCTATCATACGATAAGGATGTTGACATTTTTGTTACTTTTTGTAATGTAGCATCTACAAAATTATATATACAATACATTAATATTTTGTAATATTATAATATTATCTTTATAATATCCTTTTTAAATGCTTCTTACTTAGTTCTTCTTGACCACTTCCAACTGCTAATATTGCTGTTTGAGGAAGATTTATAATGGCCCTGAATTGCTTAATACCAAACATTCCCAAATTGGATATTCTAAAAAAAAATTGCATATATAAAAAAAAAATATTAGAAACGTATAAAATATAATTTATATTTTTTAATTTATATAATATAATATCTCTATATTTCGTTCATAAATTCATTTATTTACGTGAATGATCCTCCTTGAAATTCTTCCGGTTTTAATCGACCAGTTTTAGCTTTTTCAGCTAATTCTTTTATATTTTTCGAAATATCCAGTACACTTTTAGCTGTAGCATCAAAAACAATTGGCGTAATAAGTCCTGATTCAATAGCAACTGCGATAGAAATATCAACTCTTGGCATTTGAATTATCTATTAAATATATATAATATTTATGAAATTTATTATATTTAGTAAATAATAATAATTATATTAAATAATTATATCAAAATTATATCAAAATTATATACTAACTTGATTATTTTTATATAATGTATTTATAAATGGACATTCAACTAGTGCATGTGCAGTTGCTTTTGTAATGAAATCGTTTATTGAAATGTTAATACCATCAGCTTTGAGTTCCTTACGAATTTCATTTATTTTATCAATTTTAATATTTATAGTCGCATAAGAATGCGGGATAGTTCTCTAAAAATTTATTAAAAGTTCATCTTCTATTATATAGAAAAGTAATATTGTTGCATATATTAATAAATAAAAATAGTTTGTAATTACTTTTGATTCTCCAAGTCTTTTAGCAATGACACTGCGTATATTAGAAACTGGAATATCTTGATAAGTGGAAGGAACACCACTGGGTACATGTTTCTTTACAGGAATATCAGGCTTTTGATCTTTAGGCGGAGGTGCTTAAATAGAAATATAAATTTCAATATATATATTATTTTCATATTTTTATTATTTGTTTTTACATACCTGTTTTTGGTGCAACTTTTTTTATATTCTTTGTTTGAATATAACTTAAAACATCACTTTTTAGTAATCGATTAGGCCGACCAGTACCTTTAATTTCTTCTGCTTTCAATCCATATTCTTCCAATAATCGTCTTACTGCAAGACCATATACTCTGAAGAAAAAAAGAGAAAGAAAAAATTATACATAATAATAATAGAAAACATATGTGTATCATAATTCAAAGTTAATAACAATTTTTTTATATGCATACTGTCCACTTGGTGCAGGTGGAGTAGCAACAGAAGGAGCTGGAACACCTACAGGAGGAGCAGTTGGAACAGCTTCAGGAGCAACTCCAGGAGCAGTAGTAGGTTTTGTTATTTTTGGAATTACAATATTTTTCCAATCCATTCCCTTTTCTACTGTAATGGCAATTAATTCTCCTACTTCTACTTGACTTCCTTCAGGAACCTGTTTCATGATAAATTTTTAAGTAGATATTATAATTTTTCAATAGAACAATTTAATGTTTAATAACAATTATATACAAGTATTTTTGCAAATATGCTTTCATCCTCGATTTCAAAAGTCATGACAGCTTTGTCTGTTTGAATTTCAGCCACTGCATCGCCAGGTTCTATTTTTTCTCCTTCTTTTTTAAGCCATTTTACTATCGTACCTGAAGTCATTGTTGGTGAAAGTGCTGGCATACCAATATTTGTTCTGAAAATAATAGAATCTATATTAATATAATATAATCTGCATATATTTGAATTTTTAATAGTTTGCTTTATGAATGAAAGAATAAAAATAATATATTTATTACTTTAATAAATACATACTGTCCAGGAGGTCCTTGAACTGGCATAGTTGGAGGAGATGATGATGGAGGAGATGTTGGTGATGGAGGAGATGTTGGTGATGGAGGAGATGTTGGTGATGGAGGAGATATTGGTGATGATGGAGGAGATGTTGGTGATGATGGAGAACCAATAATTGAAGATGCAGTTACAGGTGGTGCAACTGAAACAATATCTGGCATTTCCACAGATTTCCAATCTTCATCTACATCAACTGTAAGTGCTATTAATGTTCCTACTTTGATATCTTGAATTCCTTCTCCTATCTAGAAAGTATTTTAAATTTATTTTTGAAAATAATTGTTAAATATAATATCTCTCATAGAAGTTTTACTTTAAAATCTTACAATGATTTTTGCAAGAATACTCTCATCTTCTAATTCTAAAGTAACGACTGCTTTGTCAGTTTGAATATCAGCAACCGCATCTCCTGCTTCAATCTTATCACCTTCCTTTTTGAACCATTTCACAATGGTACCTTTTTCCATAGTAGGTGACAAGGAAGGCATTAAGATACTCTTTCCTTGAACTGAAAATAAATGAAAAATTATGAGATTGTACTATTGTAAGATTGTACACTGAGTAAAAATTATATGATTTTAATATTATTATATATTATTATATATAAATTTCATATAATTTTAATAATTAGTATGAAACTTGATTGCATAATCAATTTAAATAATACTGCAAATATATTATAATAAACAATTACAAGTTATAATGAATGAAAAATAACAAAAATATTTTTGTTCAGTATCTTAGGCGTTATAATTTATATATAAGTTAATTAATATTATTTCAAATAAATATCGTTTGAATATATAAATGTATGTTAACCTCAATCACGTATAATGGTATTATTAATATATTTCTGAATAAATTGCATACCATCGAAAACCCAACTTGTATGGAAACATAATCGTTGATATTTTAACGGCACGAAAATTCGAGGTACTACACGACTATTATTTTTAATGGATAAGAGCCCAATTCTAGGTATCATCATTTGCGCCATATTTGATATGAAGTAATTGAGTTTTCAATATAGATTATATATATTAGATCACTTTCGACCTTCACAATGAGAATCTATTTATCAGATAAATCCGTTATAGGGTAAAGTCTTCTACTCAATACATTTTTTAATGACATCGCATTAACTGTTAGTAAATAATTATTATATAATTATTTATTTAATTACATTTATTAAAATAAAATTTAATGATAAAATTTTACATTTTTTCTACGTATTATATACAAAAATTAAAAATTTAAATTTTAAACCTATTGATATATTGCAAGTAACAATATACTACTATTATATATATATATAATTATCGTATAAATACATACTTTGATTATATAATTGCAGCATATAATAAAGTTATTATTATCAAAATATATTAAATATTTGGCTATTTACTAAAATCTTTTAATAAATAATATGAAATTCATTTAAATTATAGTTTTAAAACTAAATAATATAGATTGATATTATTTCTTAAATAATTTTGATTTATAACTATTTATTATAAAAAATTTAACAAATCAGCTTTATAATATTTTTTATTTTATGAACATATTTTTAGATAAACAATTTCTATGAATAATGCGACGTTTATTGAATTTTCATTATTAAAGTCTTATTTTTAATCTTTAGGTCTTAAAATATAAAATTATAGTAAATGAGTGAATAAGGTAAATCACAGTTTATTATTCATTAATGGAATATCATGGTGTAACGATCATTATCTCATAAATATATCGCAATGAAACTTTTCAATACTTTTTTCAATGATTTTTATAACTTTAGAATAGAGAGATTTTATTGAGTTTTGCATTCTTCTCGATCAGCATTTTGTGGCCAATCACATACATTATTCTTTGTGTTCCAAATCAATTTATTTGGACAAGTGAATTTTACTGCCTTTCCGTAAACACATTCATAATACTGCAACAAAAATTATATTTATATATATACATTTAAAATTTTTTTTAATAAAGAAAATAAATCAATATGATAAAAATTTAAAATGATTATTTACAGAATTGCAATTTTTAGACGGAACGAATTTGTCGTTATTTTTACAATCGATCTTATCTGTTTCTCCATTATCTATCGATGGAATAGATTCAGATTTATCTGTTTCTTCTGTAGAAGAAGTTATTTCTGGTTTTTGAGTAGATAGCTCTGTAGGTTTAGTAGATGGTCGAGTAGATTGAATAATTTGAATGTTATCTGTAGTGCTTGGTGGTCTTGCCCATTCAGGCTAAGAAAATCAGATAAAAATAATATTTGATATAATATTTATCAAAAGTATTTATATATCGTTGATTATTTATATAAATGAATAATTTAATATATACTAAGCTAAAATTTGTTTTACTTTAATAAAAGCATAATTTTTTACCCTAGGGGTTGTATTAAAATCTTTTTCTGGCACGTTATATCTTTTTAATCCTTCATGAATGACATTCATTAAAGGATTGCGATCACCACAAAGTCCTTGAAAATCGTCCATATCAATGGCCCAAACCATGGCTCCCGCGTACCGAGATTCCTTGATAAAATCGATCTTATATTTCACACTTTCCACGTTTTCATAACCGACCCATTGCGTTCCTATAATTATAATTAATTTAGATATCCTCAAAATTATTTACTCACGTATATATTCATACCTTGATACATATATGGAACTTTCCCAATATTGTCGAATTTTTGAGTCCAGTTACTACCTGGTGCTTGCAATCTGGTACAGATCTAAAAATATCTCTTCATTATTCTTAGGGAAAAACGACCGATAAAAAAAATTTACATTACGAAACGACAAAATAAAATATTTTTTTTATAAAAATTATTATCTCTTATAATTATTATACTGAATATTATCACAATACTGTTATAATATTTGACATTATGATTGATTCTAAATACTTCGTAATAAGCAAGAAATCCTTTAGCTTGAGTGTATTCTCCAGGTTCCCCGCCACCAGCCTCTTTATTGATATAAGTACCAGGCTCGTAATTGTTATTACTCTGACTGAGAGTAAATGTGCGTCCATACAATGGAATTCCAACGACCAGTTTTTTAGCAGGACAACCTTTTTCTTCCCAAAGTAGAAGACCATCGTGCTGCGGGGAAAAATATTGAGTATCATTCAACAGAAAAAACAAAGAATTTAAAGACAAATAGAATATAAGAATTCTATATAAGAAAAATTTATTACAAATTCTAAATTCGTACCACGTTCAATTTTTCATATGCCCATTGGTCATGCGGGCGGCGATAAAGTGGACTGTGCACGTCAGCAAATCCAGCCCAGTTACCTCGAAGATCGTAAGCCATTACGTGTACGGCATCCATATTTCTGCGAAAAATATTTTTATATAATTCAATTTGTGAAGAAACATTGATTAAAAAGCTAGAATCTCGATTCTTCTTCTTCGATGATAATATTTTTAAACCACTCACTGGCATATTTCTGGTACGTGATATCCTTCATCCAACCGAAACTTCGCCATTGGTACTGCGATCGTCAATTCCCATCCTTTCTTTTCCTTGTCGAAAGCACGTCTTATTTCCTCGATGAAGTAGAAGAAATTGTCCTTGTCGGAGAACCTGCCGCCCCTGTCACTCGCTCCAGGATATTCCCAATCGAGATCGAAACCGTCGAAACCATATTTGTGCATAAATTCTGAAGATAACGATGAAAGATAACAGTAACGTGAAAATTAAATGATCATAAAAAAAAAAAATTAATTTTTTCTTACTTTGAAGAACAGTTTAACTAACATTGAAATTATCGATTTTTTTTTTTTAAATTCGCTCACCAACCACACTCTTGATGAAGCTATCGCGTCTTGCTTTCACGCTGACCAGGGCACTGTACTTTTTGCCGCCCTCTCCCCACCCGCCGACAGCCACGGAGGTCTTCAAACGTGGGTATTTAGATCTAAGATTGTTGAAGGCCAAAAAATTGCCCTTGTCGACGTCCAACTCTGGATCCAAGATGAGCACCTCCCAAGTCACGTTGCTCACACCGATGAACGAGTAAATGACGTGGGTGCACAAGTCGCCGGGAACATCGTCCACCCCATAACTGCCGACATCCTTTCGATAGATCGCCCAGTTGCTGAAGTAACACGTTATCCTGGCAGGCTGAACGTTTGCTGAAACTTTTCGAAAAATATCACGTGGATAATATTCACGAGGAAGTTTCCTTAAGAAATCTTGTTTCTAATTTTATTAATATATATATATAAGAAATATATATAATTACCTGTGCAAACGAGAATTACGAGTAACAGGGAAAGGGCCGGAAGATATTTTTCCAATGTCATTTTGGAAGCTGTTACAAAAATTTGGATATTAGTTATAGTAATTTATCAGTGTCGAATTTATTTGTAATTTTTTTAAAAAAAAGTTTTAAATTACGATGACGTAATTATCTTATGTAAATTCTCTATATTATTATTTTATTCAATTTCGTTTCAAAAGGAAGCTTTGTGAATAAATTAGTGAGTGTCAAATAGTGCATCAATGATAAAGAGTTATAAATATAATTTATTTAGAATATTAACTTCTTTTAGCAACACGTTATCGGAAAAAGTTCGATTAATTTTTAATTTTCAATATTAAAATTCTCACCGAGAAGAATTTTAAGATCGATATCGATCTGAACGATGATTAGAGACGTATCTGTTTCGATCGAATATTTGAAAAATGATTAACCGATTGCGAGTAATGAACGGTTCATCGAAACGTGTCGTTTCCTCGAATGGAAGGCTCGTTGTTAAGTAAGGCAAATATCGCGATATCTCTAAATTTTATCGTTCGAAATAATCTCGCTCTTGTTTCCGCACGAGCGCCACGAGTAAATTAACCGTGTCCGATCGATCGTTTCCTCGATCTTGATCTTGGACTCGCCCCTCCACGAGAAATCTCATTTAGAAATTGAATAAGTCACGTGTAGTTCGCCAAATTCGATTTCA